CTATTTTCTAGAGGATATTTTGGACAGTGAATGAATTGCCCTGACACGTACTTACTAAAATCTATATATTATATTCTCAGTCTTCTTTCAAAATTCTCGATGCTTCACCACAAAATGGCAGATATGTATATGCCGGTCATTCTCTTCACAGCGGTCATCTTTCTGCCGCTCTTTTTTGTCCATTCTTTGCTTTGGGTTATTTGCACAGCAGCCAAACACAATCCTTTCTCACTCATAAATGTCCCCCAAATGCACACTCAATCATTATAACGGCCATCGATCTCATATTTATTTTCCACCGAATATACTGCTATTCTTTTATCCAACCATACGATGCCAAAGGTTGTGTGGATTTTACTATTCTCAACTAATTTTTAAAAAATGTTAAATTTTATCAATTTATTTGAAAAACACGAAGTAAAACAAGGTTCTCAATTTATAAAACATACTTCGATTTATGTATCTCATCATAGAGAAAGTTAAAAAGTGGATCAGAACATTCGGGAGTTTCGGAAATTAAAAGAGAAAAAAATCGCCGGAAATCGGAAAAACGGGTTTCCGATTTTGACCCGCCTTGAAATTTACAACCCGTCAAAATGAAAATAATATACAACTAATGCTTTATGTTAATATGTACATTATCTACCATTTTATGTATTTACATTTTTATTTAATTATTTTTTATGGGATTTTTTATGTTATTTATTTACTTTCATATTAAATTAACTTTTTTCACCTACGCGTTTTTAAATAATTTATGTGCATTTTTAGTTTTGTGGCTAACAAGTATTTAAAAAGTAATAAATACATACTATATGGTACAAGTTTAGTGATAGGCAACACAGCTTTATTTTATTTTTTTGCCTTTTAAAATATTTTTAATAAATTTTATAATTTTCCTTTATAATTTTCCTTTATTAAGTCCATTTTATACGTCCACTTTTTAATCATTTTTTCCTTATATTTTGTGATCCGCTTCAGCTGTCGCCTGCGTGTGACCCTTACAAAACAACAGAGTTAATTTCCCCCAAAACTATTTTTTCCAAAATTTCCATTCAAAACTACACAGAATTCCACGTCAAAGTTACATTTTTCATATTTTAAAATGGTCAAGTCCGTAAGAAAAAGCTTAATTAAATCCCGTTGAGTTCTCCCCTATCGTACTTAATTATGTTGAATTGTCATTCCCAATCAAAAAATCTTTAATTTTGAAATCTGACGGGTATTACTCTGACATCAAAATAAACAGAAAGTTATAAAAAATATTAAAAAAGTTATGTGAAATAAAAGTTTTTTTGGATACCCTTTAAATCTCTCTTTATTTTTAATTAAAAAAATTTTTTTAATAATTCTTTGTTTCATCTCTTTATTTAATCCAATAATTTTTTTAATTATTATGGATTACATTTTTCATTTAATTTTTTGCCCTATTTTTTTTCTCATGTTTTACACAAATTTTTAACACATCAAAGATTTCTCCGCATAATAAATTCATTTAAACAATGAAAAGCTGGGAAGGAGGGATTGTTGTAATGTGAGATGAAAAAAAAACAAGAAAAAAACTTTGGACTTTTGTGGATGTGACTGACATTACATAAAAGTTATTCTACAACAACTACATGTCCATCCATTCCTTGTTTTTACAATTTATATTTTACTACTTTTCTCACTTTTTTAATTTATTTCCCCTTAGCTAAAACTTTTTTAGCAGAAAATTAAATTAAAGCCAGTTTAAGGAAATAAAGTAAAATAAGTGGAAAATTAAATTTTTGTTAAATGATAGGGTAGAAAAAAAAAGAAAAGGAGTACTTTTTGTCGACAAACTATTACATAGTGCTCCCTAAGACATAAGTTTAATTGTTAAGTTTTTTGTTGGTATGGTCAAAATAATAAAATTGAATATAGTTCTTGAATATTGACCAAGAGTAAAGCCTTCGGGGTTCGGGTCGGGGTTTTTGCCAAAAAAAAATCCGTCGAAGTCGGGGTTTCGGGGGACGTGGTGATACCCTAGTTTAATCAATTATGTCTGAATAAATGAATTACTTATAAATTAAATTAATCAAAAAATGCCTCAAAATAGTTCGAAATTGCTTCTAAAAAATTTTTAAAGTTAAAAATTATTATTTTTTATTCCAATTTATTTTTTATCGATTTTTTTCTTTTACCTTCATTTTCAAACTCTTGGCCAATAAAATAAATACTAGAAGTAAAGCAATGCTTGAAAAAGCATGGAAGCAAGCCTGTAATTATGGGGGAAAGAGTAAATAAAACACGAGCAAAGAATAAGGCGAGAAAATATTTTTTTCTTTTTCATTTGTTTGGCTGACAGGTTTTTCCTTTTTATTTTTTTTATTTTTATGGCTCAAAGCTTTAATTTTTGTACATATTTTTCTCTATTTTTCCCTTTAAACTAATTTAATATTTTTTAAAAGTTAGTTAATCATTTAACAGAAAAAGGAGTAATATTTATTTATGTTTTTATTGGATATAAACATCCATTTTCACGTCCAATATTTTGTGTAAATACTTATTTAATTTAAGGAACTTTTATTTTTAAATCGTCATGTAAATTTTAAAATTTTCTTTTCTAAATTTTTTTCAAAATTTATTGGTTTTGGCAAATTCATTCATTCATGTGTTTCCTTTTTTTAAAATAAATTCTATAAATAAATATATTCTTTAGAAATTTAAACATCAAAAAACATTTTTAAAAATATTTTTAAATTTCCATTTAAATTAAATAATGTAATATTTTTATAATCTTTCCTGATGTAAAAATTAATTTTCCCTTTGATTCCCTTAATAATTGTAATTTTTAAATTAATTAATTTTTTTTCTTTTAAATTTTAAATTTTTATTTACTAATTTTTTTTCTTCCCTTAATTAATTTAAAAGCTCTAAAATAAAAGCAGCTGCCCACAAATATGTATATTGCGCAGCTTGACTTTATTTGAATTTTTTACAATAAAATTAAAAAAGGATGTGAATTTTTAAATTAATTTATTTTTGGACATAATTTTGATTAAAATTATTAAAATTGTTTTATATTTTTAAAAGAAAATTGTTAAAAAATATTTATTTTCTCATTTAAAAGATAAACTGTAAACTATTAACTAAAAATTATGATTGAAGGTCATTTAATATTTCTTTGACCTTAATTGACCACTAAATAGTTACATAGGTATATTTCCCGATTAAAAGGATACAAAGAAGACGAACATTTGTTGATTAAATCTAATTTTAATTAATAACTTTCTATAAATTTACTCATTTCTTCTCAATTATTTTACCTTTTTATTTAAGTGTTGTTCTCATTATTATTCCATAAATGGCCGCTCTCCTGTAACAATTCTCTCCTTTTCCTCCTTTTTAGACTTTAGGGAAGAAAAATTTATTTAGAACAATTAAATTATTAATTAATTTTTGTAAAAAAAAGATGTTATCTTTCTTTATTTTTTTCTTTTTTTTTCTGCTTGATCAGTTCTTTTACTTTAATTTTATTCATTTTCAATTAAAATATTTTTCTTTTCTTCAAAATATAAATACAAAATAATAAATTAGAAATGCATTGAATTGTGCAAATCCCGCGCATAAATATATTTTCAGTAAATAAATAAAAAGAACTTATTCAAATATATGTATTTAATAACCTCATTTTCACATTAAAATATTATTTTCCTACTAAAATGAGTACTCTAAAATATTTAAATAAATAAAAGTAATAAAAAATAAAAGAAATATATTTTTTATGTCAATCATTTTTTCTCAAGAAAAAAAATATTTTGAGGATCACTAGAAAAGTTTTCTTTTTTTTTGTTATTTTTTTTGCAAAAATAAGAGTACATTGTTTGATGAGAATTATTGAAAGAAAACTGATTGATGATAAAAAATATTTATTTAATTATTTTATAAAATTAACAAACAATTTAATTTTAAATAATAATTAAATTAATAAATTATTTAATAATTATTAATAATTAATAATTAATACTTATTTTCTCTAAATTATTCCAAATTTTACATATTTTAACCAAAATTACATATTTCTATTTTTAATTTATAAAAAAAAGAATATTTCAGACATAAACTTAAAAAAATAAACAATTCAAAATAAAGTACAAAATCTCTCGTCTCTCTTTCCCCATTCAATCCGTTTAGTACTTATTATCTTTTTAAGTTTCTCTTTAATTTTTTTATTCCGCAAAATGAGATAATCTTAATTGCAAATAAAAACTTGAAATATTACCTTCTTTGAGAAAAGGTTAAGAGGAAAAGCATTGGAAAAATTTTAATTTTTTAACAAAAATATTTTTATTTTTTTCAAAATTTCTGCATAAATTTATTTTGATTTACGGATAAAAAAAGGAAAACCTAAAAAATAAATCTGCTTAGTAAAGGTTTGGTGTTATTGGGGCTATTTTTGGTGTAAAAAGTAGTGGAAGGTAAAGGAGGAACGTTTTTATTGAAGAATAACGATAGATGGGGGGGGGGAAGTATGGGGGGTTTGAGGGGAACATTATTGGGTGAAACCGATCGATTGAGAGGGTTGTTTGTTGTGTTTGTCTGGAAATATATATTTTCAATTAGTCATTAGTATTTGTGTGTACATATGACTTACTAGGTCGGGAAAAATTGTTTTGAATTTTGTGTTAAATGGCTTAAAAAATTGCGCAAAAAAACAATTCTTTTGTATATTATTTCAATCTCTTTTACTTTTAAAAAATATTTTTTTAAAAAGTACTTTTTAAGAATATTTACACAGTTTAAATATTTCCTAGTTATTAAGGACGATAATTGTCAGAAGATTAAGGATGCTATATCCTATAGGTTTTGGCTGTTTTTGGGGGGAAACCTTCACTTTCGAATTCTCTCATATCATAAAATTAATATTCAAATTATTTCAAAAAATCACAAATTGTTTAATAATCTTTTATTAAATTATTACAGATTACATTATTAATTAATTATAATAATAAAGCTTATTTTCTATCTTTTCCGCTATGAGCGGAAGAAATTTCGCTGATAAACTACTAATTTTAATACATAATTTACCCCATTTTGATTTTCGTTTTAATCGACTTCGGCATGATACTCCTTTCGATATTGATCCAAATGGAGAATATATGCAGGTAATTTTAATTGAATTTTGGAATAAAATCATAATTTTTGGATTGTGAACTATTAAAGGGAGAGAGATACCTATATATATTGGAGCTTAAGGAAGATGCCCGGGACTAGATCTTGAATCTCAAAAAAACCTAGATGAGTGAGATTGTATCTTATAATCTCAGTATTTATTAAACCCGTTTCTAAATTAATCTTTAAATTATTCCAAACAAGAATTGCCAGAAATGACTTTAGCTCAGTCCAATAAAAATACAAATGCCCACAAAAAATTATTAATTATTTTTCTTCCTTAATTTTTTGTTAAAATTTGTAAAATTAATTTACAAACTTTCAAGTCCCTCGTTGTGTTCTGCGCTTTTGGACTTGCATTAGCATTACTCTTTCTATTGGCAACAGTAATTGTTTGGGTAGCTCAATGTTGCTTTGCACATCGTTCTAATGGCCCACAACGAAATTCTCGTAAACGTATTGACAGACTTTCATTAGCTTTGTTTATTGTCAGCATTCTTTGTTTTTCACTTATGGGGGCTTGTTTGTTTGGAAATGAAATTTTTAATAAAAGTGTTCAAAGTTCTCTTGACGGACTTGGACATTTAAATGATGGATTAAGAAGGGCTGCTATTCAGGTTTTCTTTGAAAAAATTTTTTTGGAGAAATTAGTGTCAGGATTTGATAAAATTATCTCTTTCCTAAAAATATTTTTGAAAAACTAAAAAAAATTTTAAATGTCATTAACTCAAAATCAGGCTTTCAATCCCCTTACCTACAAAAAATCTATGAGTTAATTTTCGATTCATAAAACTCTCCATATCTCTCATATTCTTCCCACGATATATTAGGAAATAAAGGGTTTAAAAACTTTAGTAATAATTATGTGAATAACTTCTTAATAATTTTTCTAAATTTAAGACACAAAAACTTAATCACTCTCAATGGCAATTAAGTGAACATGTTGATGAATTAACTATTTTAATTGAAAGAAAAAGTAGAGAACACAAAAATATTAACCAAACAGTAAAAATAAATAAATACTTTTTAAAAAAATAATTTAAAAATATTTAAAGCAAATTCGAGAGGCCGATGCTCTTTTAACAGAATTATCTGACAAAATAGATGAATTAAAACAACAATTAACTAGAACTTCGATTATTTTATTCGATACACACTTTTTAGATAATACTAAAAGAAATGCTGAACGTATTGAATTTGAAAGGTTTTTCTTTGTTTTGAATTTAGTGAGAAGAGAATATTCTCTTTATTATAAACCTTTGCGTTAACCAGAATTTTTGAATCTAGTAGATCAAAAATCTAGGTTAATCCGATTCTTGATATCTTTACACAATAAAGAAAGTATTCTATTATTGGCACAGTAAAGGTTTTGTAAGGACCTCTTTATGCATTGATGGGTTTTGTGGAATCTATTTAATAATGTTTACGTCTTAATGGGAGATAAATTATTGTTATTATATTATTTTATATTGACAACTTTCACTAAATCCCTTGATTCCATTCTAAACTAAAACTCGATGAATACAATTTTTCTTAAAAATTTAATTTAAATTTAGATGGCTTCTTTGTCTTATACTTCAATTAATTATGTGTGCAGTGCTTTTTGCGGGGGTTATTGCATTTTGTCGTCAATCCCGAAAAGGGGCCATAATATTTTCTGGCCTTGGTTTAGTTATATTTTTGGTTTCTTGGTTACTCTTTTCTGCTGTTTTTCCTTTAACTGTGGTTTGTTTTGGAAAACTCTCTAAAAAAGTTTCTAAAAATTAATTTTAGTCTCATGCAGATTTTTGTTCAGATGGCCGAACATTTCTTCGAAGTCGTTTAAATGATGAACTTCTTGATTTAACTAATTTTTATTCTGAATGTGCTCCAGATGAAGGATTACCTCCATCAATACCCTTAACTCTTTTAAGTCAATTAGCTAAAGATCAAGCTGGGGCTGAACAACGTTTGGGGACTTTATTGGCAAGAATGTTTGAAAAAGAAAAAGAAATTGATAAAAAAGAAAATGATAAAGCTTTTGATTCTATTTTGCAATTAACACAATCTGAAATAATTTCTTCCTCAAAACACTTGGGAGCTTTACATTTTGCTTTACAATGTGGACAGTTACACAAAGATGTTTTTACTTTACGTGTTGGAATGTGCAGACATGCTTTGTTAGTTTTTCTTGATTAAATGTAAAATTAAAGGCAACTTAATAGGAGGGATCAATGAATATAATCGAACATTGAATTTTTTTAATCCGTTAACTTTCCCTCTTCTCGTTAATTTAAGAGACAACTTTTTATTCGTCCAAACAAAAAATATTTTTAAAATTATTTTAGCCTTGGTTCTGTTCTAATCTCAGCTGGACTTTTTCTTCTCGGTCTAACACTTTTTGTTTTGTTATTGTTGGTTGCTAAATCTTGGTATATGTTCTCTAGGTAAATAAATAAATATTTTAATTAATTAATTTTTCTTTCAAATTTTAGACTTCCAAACGATTATTTAGAAGTCGGCGAAGAAGATCAATTTTCACCAAGAATTCACGATACAATGCCTGATAATATTTATGATACTAATTTATTCAATCCTCGAGCTCGTCAACATTTAAGCGGTGGAGTGGATGGGGGAAATAATTCCGACAGAATGCCGTAAGAATTTGTGTAAGCCTCTACCCTTCCTCCTTTCCTTTTTAACTCTTAATTGGTTTTGATTTTTGTTCGAATAGTTTTGTGAAATTTTTGACTATTTTAATATAATTCTCATATTTTTTAAATCTTAATATTTTATACTCTGACAAATCCAAGGGATGATTTATAAATTGCTTGGACTATTGCCGTAGTACCAACTACTTCTTATGCCATTAACCATCCTCATAATCTTAACTAAGTCTGACTTCTTAAACGTTATATAGAGAAGAAAAACTGATTATCTTTCAGACGTTATATCCAAATATATTGTTAAAATTTCCTTTTTAATATCGTTGGTTTTCTTTTTATTTTTTTGTTTTTGTTTTTTTTCGATTTTCTGCTTTTCTTTTAGTAATCAAAATGGAGGTCAACAACAACCATTATTATTGGGAGAAAGACAAAGTTGGCAACAACAAATGATGACACACAATGCAGCTATAGCTTCAGCACCACCGGCAACAATTGGCACTTCTGGGGGAACACTTAGAGGGACTTTAACTAGGTAAAAATAAATTGAAGGAATTATTTTAAATTGTTTTTGTGTATTTTATTATCTATTTGGGTCTTGCTGTGCTTTTCTTCTTAAACTTTCTTTTCTTAAATTTGAGGTTTTATCTTGGTCTAGAATTTTGATTTTCATTTAAAAACGAACGTTCTTTAATTTATAAATATTTTAATAATTATTTTAAAATTAATTTTAAAAAATCTTTTTTTTTAAATAAAGGAATGGAGGTTTGCGTGTTCATTCTGCCAATTATCAACAAATGAATGGGGCAGGGGGAGGAGGCGCAGTTTATGGACGTTTTCAAGAATATGGAGATGCCTGATTTTTTTATATTTTTTTAATTTAATTATTTAAAGAGAAAGATTAAGGAATTTTTTAATGTTTTCTTTTACTGAGAGAAATTTAAAAAAACGAAAATTTCACAATCTCATTATTCATCTAAAAATTTTTAAACAAAAAATATATGTATTTTCTAAACTTTTTTTTCCATTTTTATTCAAAATTTATAGCCATTCTTTATTTAATTATTATTTAATTAATTGTATTGCTTTATCTAAAATATTTTAAAAAAATATTTTTTTAATCTTTTTTTTTGTCTTTTATTTTTCTTTCGGATCTCTTTTAATCATTTCCCACATTTTAATTAATATTTTTAAAGATTTATTTGTAAAGTTCAACAATAATTAATTAATTTTATTTTTTCCTCATGTATTTTTCTTTTAATTTGAGAGCATTAAATTTATATTTTAACATTTTATTTCGATTATATAATTAAATAAATGTTTTATTTTAAATATTTTTGTGTATTTTATTAAGGTTAAAGTTAAATTTAATCAAATAAAATGTTCCTAAAATTAATTTTTAACTGAGAAAATTTAGGATGTTTGCATCTAACAGACTCTTGTCCCTATCTCTTTGATCACTACATTGAAAGATTCAGAACATTTATTTTTTTATTTTTCAAACAGAATTTCTTAAATCCTTTCTCACTTGAGCTCTAATAATCAGTCGGAAATAACAAAAATAAAATAATATTTTAAAATTATTCTTCGTCCACGAAATTTCACAATTAAAATTTGTGAAAATTTTATTTAATAAATTTTGAAAAATTTTTTATTAGACTAATATTTAAATATTTTAAATTAAAAATAATATTTTAAGTATTTAAAAAATATTTTTTACTTTTTCTTTACTTTCTTCAAAGCATTTCTTATCAAATATATTAATTGCCATTTGTTTGCTGCATCTAAATAAACTAAATTAATGGTCTGATTAGAGGGTAAAATCGATGAAGATTTTTTGTTTTTGTTTAAAATTAATGGAAAAAAAGTTTTTTGTCCTTTAGCTTTTAAATGGGTGTAATTTATTTTTATATAAATTATTTTAAGCTTAAAAAGAACAAAAATTAAAATATTTTTTTAAACATTACATATTTAGTGCTAATTTATTTACCAAAACATTAAATAAAAGTTTTTATTACTTTAGAATATACACATTTTATTTATGTATTTAATTTTTATGTTCTTTTATTATAATATAACAAGATAAATAAAAAATTATTATTATTATTTCTATTATTTTATTTTGGCTTTTATTGTCTAAATGTTTTTAGAGCTCAATAAGGGATTTTTAAGGAAAATTAAAAATTTTTTTTATATTTTTAAGCTAAAAATAATTCCAATGAAGTTAAAACATTTAAATTTCCTAATTTTTATTCTCTTCATTCAAATCTACCAAACATTTTGCCTTATTCCGATAAGATGGCACCGACGAGATCCTGTTAGTTTATCTAAAAGACTTCCATTATATGGTAAAAAACAAATGGAATATGGCCTAACAAAATATAAATGGAATGAAGAATTTTATGAAGAAATGCCTGTTGATCATTTTTCGTTTAATGATCCGAGAAAATTTAAATTGAGGTAATTATGAAGTTGTGAAAATTAAAAAAAGAGAGAATTTATTTTTAAAAGATATTTGATTAATACAGACAATTTTAAAGAGAAGAATGCTCCAATTTTCTTTTACACAGGAAATGAAGGATCTATTGAAGGGTTTGCTGAGAATACAGTATGTTAAATGTAGAAATTTATCTCAATCTCTAGGCTTTGTTTTAAGTATTTAGATTGGGAAATAGGGAGAGTGTAGGGGTGTTTGATGAGATCTAGAAATTTTTTATTCCAAAGTATGAATGCCTTAAAAATTATTAGCTTCAAATTATTTTTTTAGAATTCTAATTGCAATCATTTTTCGTAATTTTAAGGGTTTTATGTGGGATATTGCACCAGAATTTGGAGCTGCAATAGTTTTTGCCGAGCACCGCTATTATGGAAAGAGTTATCCATTTGGAAATGATTCTTATTCAAGTGTCTCCAATTTGGGCTATTTGAGCTCGGAACAAGCTCTTGCAGATTTTGCTGTCATTATTACTTATCTTAAAGAAGTTCGACTTCCTCATGCTAAAAAATCACCAGTAATCGCTTTTGGAGGTTCTTATGGTGGAATGTTAACTGCCTGGATGCGTATTAAGGTTATTAATAATCCAACTTTTTAATTTTATTTTATTATTCCAGTATCCTCATATAATCGACGGGTTTGTTAAAATAAAATATTTAAATTCTGAGTAAATTCTCTAAAATATTTTCTCTCATTCTCAGAGGAATTGCAGCTAGTGCCCCAGTTTTTTGGTTTGGAAATGTTCCTGCACCTCCAGAACATTCATTCGATGATATTGTTACTCGAACATTTATCAACAGTGGATGTACTTTGCAATCACTTTCGGCTAGTTTTGAAACTATCCGAAAAATGGCCGATAGCTGTTTGGAAATAAATAAATTTAAAAAATTTTAAAATTATTTTTAAGCAAATGGAAGAAAATTTTTAAATGAACAATTCCATCTCTCATCTGATTCCCAAGTCAAGAATGCTAATGATGGGGAAGAATTAATTTATGCCATCCAATCTGTCCTCGAAGTAAAAATTTTTTTTCTATTTTCTAAAATTAATTTTTATTTCAGACAATGGCAATGGTTGATTATCCTTACCCTTCCAATTTTTTAGCTCCTTTGCCAGCTTGGCCAGTAAAAGTTGCTTGTAAAGCATTTATTTCTGCTCAGAACCCAGAACAGAGTGCATTAGCCTCATATAAAGCTATCAATTTATTTTACAATTATACTGGCTCGGAGAAAACTCTCTGCCTTTGGGGTGATGCCTGCGCAGGTCCTTTCAGTGCTCTTGGTGATCCTGATGGTAGGAAAATTAGATAAAATTTTAGGAAATAAAAATATTATTATAAATTACTTTTTAGGCTGGCCCTGGCAGGTTTACAGATTCATTTAACAATTATTTAATTTTTAAAACTACGACAGGCTTGCACAGAAATGATTATGCCTATGTGTAGTAGAGTAATTAACAAATTATATTTAAATAATTTTAGCTTTTCATTTAAGGGCCCTCCTTTCGACCCATTTAATAAAAGCTGTCCATTTCGTGATCAACAGTATATAAAATATTGTCTTGGCCATTTCTCTAAAATTGGTTACAATAAAGACCTTTTCCGTCCAAATTGGGCAATTACTAATTATGGAGTTGAATTTCCGACAGCTACAAATATTGTATTTTCTAATGGATGGTTAGACCCTTGGTCTGGGGGAGGGTGGAGATTGACACCAACATTTGAGGGTTCTCTCTACTCTTTAATTGTGGAGGATGGGGCACATCATTATGACCTTCGTGGTGAACACCCAGACGATACACAATCTGTTAAAGAAGTACGCCGTCTTGAAAAGTAATTTTTTAATAAAAAAAGATTTTCTTTAAAATAATATCTTTAATTAGAAAACACATTACTCGTTGGATCAAAGAGGCTCGAGAAAAATATAATCAACAAAAACGAATAACTAAAGATCGGATTCTCTACGCGGAGATTGCAGAAAATATTTTTTAATTTACCGATAATGTTACTTTCTCATGCAGTAACTCTAAATCGTAAATAAAATATTTTTGAAATTTTGAATTTTCTAAAGAATATTCATTCATAATTTTTGATTAAAAAATAATAAATAAAAAAATTTTTAAGAATTAATAAGAAAATAATAAGAAAATATAAGACCCTAATTTAAATTATTTTTTCTGGTTAGGCAAATGTATTTATTTTAAATAAAAATAAATATATTATTATTTTTATTATTATTTCAAATTCCCAATATTTTTTATTCAACATATTTTTTTGCTTGTGCTAAATTATATATTAATGAGCGCGCAATTTTTTGAGTGTGTGAAATTTACTATGGCCTTTGTTTTGGATTTTGCCATGAAAAAAATGTGTGAATCCCAATGGTATATTTATATTAAAAAATATTTTTTTATTCACGGATTTTTTTCCTTTCATTGGCATTTTTATTTTCTCATTTTTTAATTTATTTATTAGCAAAATAAAATAAATATTTTTACTTTCTTACTAATTATTAATTATAATAAAGATTTAATTCAAAATTTGAAGTCTCAGCCCTGAAGATTTGATAGTTTAGTTAATGATATACTAAATTACATTTATTAATATGCTAGATCATTGTCTTTAAAATAGTTAAATATTTTTTAATTATCTTAAATAAATTTGAGAAAAATGTTACAATTAAAAGAATATTTTGACAATTTGATTGTACTAATTATTGATACAATAACAATTTTCGTGTTATCCTTCTCTCTGAATATTTATTAAAAAATTGAAAAAATTTAATAAATATTTTAACAAAAAAATCAATTTTTTAAATTAAATTTAGTAAAATAAAATTTTGTTTTATTTTTTTTGTTGAAAATATTTTTCTTTTAATTGGTCAACTAAAAAGAACGGAAATTCACTTTAATACAACAAAAGTTTGTATAATAAGCCAATTTTCTTTTCCTTTAATAAAAAAATATTTAAATATATTTTTATTTATTTTCACGTATTTTCTTCTTTTAAAAAATATTTTTTTCCTTTTTATTATTTTTTAAAGACTTTATTTCTCTCCGTTTGCCTTTTGCGGCAAACGGAAATTGCCTCGATGCTTTTTGGTGGATGTCTAAAAACCCCCCATTTCTATTACTTACTAACCCTCAATTTCATTTAGCCTTTTTGTGGCCAAAATGGACACAATAACCTGTTTATAATGTCCGAAAATAGTAAATTTTGTTAATTAAAATATAAAAATATTTTTATTTAATTATTTTGTGTTTATTCTAATATTTAGACGGGCACCTCTTTTTCCAGAAAATTGCTCAAGATTTTATTTTAAATCAGAACAGAAAAATATTTTTAATTATTTCATCCATTTCAAAGCA